ATGTCCAGGATCCGGTATCGTAATAAGAACTAAAATTTCACTTCCAGACCATTAAAATGTGTTAAATTTTACTTTAGATATTCTTTTTATGAATATAATAAGTAAACATATAGTAAGCTTCATCTTCTTATTGTGCCGTATTCTAATAAAGGTTGGTGATTACTTCTTTAAACACTTCACATAAATTATTATTGTTTAAATTTAACTACTTAAAACAAATATTGCACGTCATAAACTACAGTAATTGAAAAACTATAAAGATCTGTTTTCAGAGTTCTCTTTAATTTTATGTAGTTTATTGTAATCTACCGAAAGGCTTCTACTTTCTTCAACTATTACAAGATAACTCTACTCGATATTCGTACATTTAGAGACTAAATGTTTCAGTGCCCATGCATTTAAAAAAAAATAATATATTAAATGGAAACTAACCTTTTTCAAGTTTATAATAGATACTTTTTTAAGTTTGAAAATAATTGTAATTAATAAAGTAATTGAAAATAATAAGTTCCAAAATGTACCGGCTATAAAATTTTAAAATCTACTACTAATACTAATATTGGCAACATCGCAGGAGTTTAGAAGTGTACGCGAAAAGTTATATACGGGCCCCAAAAATGTTTTATCCTATTACAGAGTCCACTTGATCCGACGTGTTGGTCGAGTCTACATAAAGCGCTACTTAGATAATAATATACACGGCGTATATTCTCCTGGAGTTCGTATAATACCCTTTTTTTACGGAGCCTACATTAACCGCTAGAAGTATATATATATATATATATATATATATATATATATATATATATATATATATATATATATTATTAACTTTTGTGATCCTGTGCAATATTGATTTGATTTAAAAAGGTATAATAGGGACTTGTATCAATTTTCTCTTAGTAACAGTGGGGCAAAAGTAATTATCCTATTTTAAAAACGCTATAACTCTTGCAAATGATGCTAAACGCAGAATACAAATCGACAAGCCATGAATCGATTTACTCCTCATGAACGCGGAATAATTGTTTCCGTCTTTTTGCGCGACAATTTGTCGGTTATATTGGCCCGGCGTTAATGTCATCGCAAATTTCCTAGCCGCCCGACAACTTAACAACCACTGCCGTGTTTGGCCCCTTGCCTTGAAGAGACTGGGACAACAGAGATGCTCACAAGGCTGGCCGGCCCCGGAGCAGCCGTGCTGTTGAGAATATCGCTGCTATTGCCCAAGATGTTAAAAAGGAGCCCGGAAAATCGACAAGATGACGTGCACACACTTGTGCATCAGTCGGCACGGCGGTCCCTATGCAGAATTTTGGTGAAAGATTTGAAGATATTCCCTTACAAGAGAAGGCTCATTTAAAGGAAGGTACATCGATGGATGGCACATCGATGAAGAAGGACGATTTTTTATAGAAAAATATCATGAGCGATGAAGCTTATTTCCATCTTAGCGGTTCAATGAATAAACAAAATTATCTTTTCTGGGCACCAATTATTCGTGTATCACCCACGAAGAGCCATTATATCCGCTTAAAGTTGTGAGGATGTGGTATTTACGCTGGAGGAGTCATTGGACCATTTTTCTTTGAGAACGCCGTGCGCCAAACAACGACTGTGGACGGCGCACGCTACGAAGCTATGATTACCGAATGTTTTTCTTCCTCAATTGGATAAATTGGGACTGGAGAACATGTAGTTTTAACAGGACTGTACAATAGCGCACACTACTCGAGCCACAGCCGATATACAGTGAAAAGCATTTCCGGGTCGCTTAATTTCTTGTTTTGGTGATGCACTAGCCGCCCAGACCACCCGATTTTACTGTTCCAGACCAGAATTTTTATGAAAGATTCAGAGTTATTTCCTGACGAGGGAAGACATAATTGAAGGAGGGTACATCGAGTACATTAAGTACATTGTACTTTAAGTACAAAGCAAAATTCGAATTCAAAACGAACTAACAGATACGATCCATGTGAGAACGGGCCTACGACAGGGAGGTGCCCTATCCTGTATTCTATTCAACATCACATTAGAGAAAATAATTAGGGAGTCAAAAGTCAACACCAGAGGAACAATCATAACAAAAAGTGTACAAATATTGACATTTGCAGATGATGTTGATATCATAGCTAGAAGCGAAAAAGAGATGATAGAAGCATTTAAAGCGATAGAAAGAGGGGCACAAAACAGTGGCCTAAACATTAACGAAATAAAAACCAAATACATGAAGGCCAGTAAATCGACAGGCCAAAGAAACCTACAGTATCTGACAATACGAGACTATAACATCGAAAGCGTGAAAAGTTTTACATATCTAGGTTCACTAGTTACCGCAGATAACAATATCAATGAAGGAGTTAAGAGAAGAATACATATCGCTAATAAAACATATATTGGACTAATTAAACATCTAAGATCTAACAACATCACAAGAAAAACTAAATGCAAAATATACAAGACCCTGATAAAACCGGTCCTTGTATATGGATCAGAGACGTGGACACTGTCGAAAAGCGATGAGAACCTATTAGGTACATTTGAACGAAAAATCCTTAGACACATATATAAGGGGGTAAAGGAAAACAACATGGCGCAGAAGATATAACTTTGAATGATACACAGCATACAATGAACCCGAGATCATAACACCCATAAAGATCGGACGTCTGCGCTGGATGGGCCATGTTGAACGGATTTTGGAGACTGAAACGCCAAAACATATAATGAGGCAAACACCAGTAGGGAGAAGGTCAAAGCAAAGACCAAAACTTAGAGACATGGAACAAGATCTGAAAACACTTATGATTACCAACTGGAAAAACAAAGCAAAGAATAGAACAGAATGGCGGACAATCCTAGAACAAGCCAGGACAAAGAAAGGATTGTCGAGCTACTAATGATGATGATGATCGTTTTTGAGGCACCAATAATCCGTGTATCACCCACTATACCCGCTGAAAGTTATGCGAGTGTGCTATTTACGCTGGAGGTGTCATTGGACCATTGAGAACGCCGTAGGCCAAACGACAACTGTGGACGGCGCACTCTACTGAGCCCTGATTACCGAATTTTTTCTTCTTCAATTTAATGAATTGGGACTGGAGAACTTGTGGTTTTAACAAGACAATGCAATAGCGCGCAATGCTCGAGCCGCAGCCGATAGGTGTGTGGGTGTGCTATTTACGCTGGAGCCATAGGACCATTTTTCTTAATCGGAGGATAGGAGAAAGAAAATGAATAATCCAATATTTAAACTGAAAATCGGTTTTGATCAGCCGCGAAAATCTTAGGAATTCAAAGTTTTTTTCTAAAACACTACAAAATATGGCCTCTTATGTACTCTTTGAAATAAATATTAATTAGTTATCAAGGTCTGAATAAAGACCCTGAAATTAAATTAGTTGCACAAACCTGCGAACTTTGGATCGCGAGATCAAACAAATCGAAAAAACTCTGTAATTGCATGCCTGTGTAAACAAACAAACAAACAAATGAGAGAAGGGAGATCGTAATCCTCTAGTTTCTTACTCAGTACTGATATTGGGGTTTATGATGTAATGTGTAAAAACGCTATGATATAGCATGTCCTGTGTTGCTATGAGTAAAAAGATCAAGCCGCTGCAGAAAATTACATAAATTTTTTTACGGTTCTGTCATACCGTGAAGATATGTCAGTTAATATAAATTAACTGATAATTGATGCTACCATCAATCGCATGGGACCTTGAGGCTGACGCTTACCAGTTAATTTCTCATGTTAAGGGAGCATCAGCTGAAATTAATGAAACTGCAATGGATGTAGTTTAGTTTTTATCATTGAGTTAGAATCTAACTCGATGATTTTTACATAGCTCAAAGAAAACGTTGTTTACAAAACAACGGAACCTACGAACATTTACTTAATTGACATTTTTAACAAATTTCTAGTTCAACAAAAACTTCATTAAATTTTCCATTTAAACCAAAGTTTTACAATTATTGCTTCACCGCTATATAATTATTATTTATGCCACTGGATGGCATTTTTATAGTCTTTTCAATGATGTATCATAAGGGTTTGCAATTTAAACTTTTTTGGTTGTGGTGGGTGGGGCCTAGTGGGTTGATGGGGTGGGTTCTCTTTCATGTCATTTTAGTTCGCCCTTACTATCCCAGAAACGGTCTTAAGCATTTTTCAATAGCACCTTTTGTTCGTGAGATATAGCCCATTGTAAGTTTTAAAATAGACATACTGTATAGGAATAATACCTAGCACAACTTTTTTGAAAAATATTTATTCTATTTCTTGACAATTACCTTGTATACTTTTATTATCCTCGAATTCGTTTCATAATATATAATATCCAACTGGTTGGTAACACAAACAAGTGTGCTAAATTTCCAGGCTACACTTTAATCTCCTGAGTAATAATTTTTAAGCGTTTTCGCAACACTTTGCGGCGGCCACTTGGCCAATATCATTTTCTCAACTTGATGGAATAAATTGTAATGCAAACAAATTTCACAAGCAAAATCAAAGTTTTTTATAAAAAAAATGCAGCATGAGAACATCCGCTGATTAGTTTTAACCCACCTTATATATCCAGGGTTGATCATAAAATTGCGTGAAGATTTATTTGTTAAAGCTTACATAGGTTTAAATCTTACTTATGTCAAATATACATTTAGTAAGTTTTCTAAATAATAAAGTGGAAACACTTTTTTTTTAATTAAGAATTGAGGTAGGCCGAAGAATTGACAAATAAAATAACATTAAAGTAGAGAAAACTAAAATATACCGCAGTCAAATTCTTTGGTTCTTAATTTTCTCAATTTTAATTTTTTGGAAATGTAACGTTCTTTTTCCACTGTGTTACGTTGCTGTTTTTTATTACTCTATTAAATTTGTATTACTAAAAAAGTTAAATAACTTCATATCTATCATATTTTTCTGGCTTTTTTCAACTACCTAAACACTACTGTCTGTATACTTTGGTATAATCACGTACTTTCAGGCATTCTTCGAGAAACTTGGTACTTATGACGATGGGTTTGACATTTGGGGAGGAGAAAACTTAGAAATATCTTTTAAGACTTGGATGTGCGGTGGCACACTCGAAATCATTCCATGTTCACACGTTGGACACATTTTTAGGTAAGTTACGAATTATCTGTATGACATAAAAAGTATAATGTATACTTGATTTTTTAGGAAAAGATCTCCATATAAATGGAGAAGCGGAGTAAATGTGCTTCGTAGGAATTCCGTGAGACTAGCAGAAGTTTGGTTAGATGAATACGCGCAATATTATTATGATAGGATAGGAGGAGAAAAGGGAGACTATGGAGATCTCAGTAAAAGGAAAGAACTTAGAAAAAATTTAGGATGTAAGAGTTTTAAATGGTTTTTGGACAACATTTACCCAGAGCTATTTGTTCCGGGTGCAGCTGTAGCTAAAGGAGAGGTACGTATGTGTTTACAAATTAGCTAATATTGTGTAAAAAAAATTGTGGACAACCGGAGCTCGGTGGCAAGATACTGGCTTTCTAAGCAAGGGCGCACGAGTTCTAATCTCGATACCAACAAAATTTTCATTTCTAAAAGGGATACGCGCCGTTCACCATGCTTCGAATGGCTCGTAAAGCCGTCGGTCCCCTGGGCTAGTGTGCATCTACTCTACTCTAATCTAAGTGTACGTTCACACAGACTGCTATGGCGCGATGAGCGATGCGATGTTTTGCTATGCTATGCGTTATGTGGATGTTTCAATACAATGATATGCTTGTGAGCTATTCGCCACCGTAGTCTTTTCTGTATCGGACGTGACGATGGAAGGAGAACTAAAATATATATTTGCAGAAAATTCATTGTTAAAGTACAATATTTTCAAAAAGTGTTTAAATAGAAAACGTAAATGGGTTCATAAATTAATAATAGGTTTCATTAATAGAGAAAAGAGGACATTTGGAGTTTCATCATTTATTTGCTAAACTAATTATGCATCCTGATAAATTTCGAGAATATTTTCGGATGTCTTCAGAAACATTTGACTACATTCAGAGAGGTAGAACTTCATACGTAGAGAAAATGCACACAAACTGAAGGAATCCATTAGGCGTTAAATAACGGCTTAAAATATATTTAAGGTAAATTTGAATATTAAAATAGTATTGTTCTGAAGCTATTTTCTTGTGGCGTTGTAAATTAATTACTATTAAACTGGGAATAAGCCACAATTAAAGATAAAAATACGTTTATTGACGTTTCAATTTCCACTTCGGAAATCGTTCTCAAAATACAAACAGTAAATTAAACAAATTTTGTTTTTTGTTACATAGTGAAAAATTCTTCTAATAATTTAATTTTATCTGACTCATTTATATTGACAATTCAGATATACATTATGCATTTTAAAGTAGATGACTTTAAAATGATATTGCCAATATTGTTGAGTTGCGCTCCTGGGACGACTTTACTTATAAGATAGTTCATTCGATTACATGAAATCAACTTTAACTTGAGAATATCCGTCAAAATCATAGCATATAATTCGTCTTTAAAAAGACCAACACATGACATGATGACAGTAAAATTCCCCTGTTAGTGATTCCTAATTATATAAAATTATATTTTATATAATTTTATTATATAAAATATAATAAAATTAGATATTCTCAAGTTAAGGTTGATTTCATGTAATCGAATGAACTATCTTATAAGTAAAGTCGTCCCAGGAGCGCAACTCAACAATATTGGCAATATCATTTTAAAGTCATCTACTTTAAAATGCATAATGTATGTATGAATTGTCAATATAAATGAGTCAGATAAAATTAAATTACATAGAAGAATTTTTCACTATGTAACAAAAAACAAAATTTGTTTAATTTACTGTTTGTATTTTGAGAACGATTTCCGAAGTGGAAATTGAAACGTCAATAAACGTATTTTTATCTTTAATTGTGGCTTATTCCGAGTTTAATAGTAATTAATTAAAATAGTACATCGAATATTTTAAAAAATCTACCAAAAAATACAGGGAGTTTCGCTCACGCACGATCACACTTTCGGGTTAGAATCTTAATTAGTTATGTTTTCTTTATTTATCAGTTGCACCAGCCTGTTGTTTCGAGTCTGTTATTAAATGATCTTGAATTGCTCATGCATTAACGCCATTTCGCGACCAATTCTTGCCTAGTCGTCATTTGGTTTATGCATTGTCCGTTTCATATTGATTATTGTATATTCGACGGTATAATCATATTTTAAATATCTACAGGTAATATACGCTAAGTAGAAATGCTTGAGGAGGCTAGGACCCATACAGGGTTGTAAATCACTTCAGCATATAATTGTTACAATCATAGGAAGAGTTAACTCTTTCGTCATTTTTATAAGAAAATACCATGAAAATTGTGCGTGTAAGTAATTGTAATGCATTTTTCATTTTCAGATAAGAAACTTAGGTGTCGGTGGCAAAACATGTTTGGATTCAGCTGCTAGACGAGCAGATTTACATAAACCAGCCGGTCTATATCCTTGTCATCGACAAGGAGGAAATCAGGTAAGAATAAATCTATATAATTAACATTTAATAAGATTTTTCAAAATAAATTATTTAGATACTTTTAATCTTTCTTCTTTGTTTATTTGGGCATATTGTCTATTTTTCTTCAATGTTGCCTCTTATATTGTTAGAATATTTATCATTTCACATTATTCTAGGACTATTGGTGATTTAGCGACTATTCTGCTTTTTGTCATTTTATTGTATCTGCTGCTCAATTCTTTCTTTTTATCTTGAAGTTCATTTATGCTGACTGTTCTGTACATATTTCGGATCTCATTGCTTGTTATTTTATCCATAAATGTTTTCTCTGTTCTTCATAATAATTCGCATCATATTTCGCTTCTAATCCTGCAGCGACAATCAGTTTTTAGTTATTCTTATTCCAATGTGATCTTTACATTCCATTCGTCCTTGATTTACTCATGCTATTATATCCATTCTGTATGCAAGCTTCGTTTGTAGCGTTCTTTTTCTGCTCAGGCGCCAATTTCTAATGGGTAGCTCTATTAGACACCAGACTGAAGAAAACGCAAGTTGAATTTAAATATTCGAAATAAATAAAAAAATAAAATTAACTTCTATATAGTATGTACAACAAAAATAAAATACCAATCCTGATTCGACTACAATACGATCCACTGTTTATACCTGCGAAAAACAAATACGAGAAACGCTAGGAAAATTGAAACAAAAGGATGATGTATCGGTCAGAACACAAACATGAAGGAGAAACACTAATCACTACTTAGTCTAGGTTAGAGGTGGCCGAATCGATCCGGACGAGGATGAAAGCGACCAATTAATACTTTGTCGCCGAATCAATCTCTACTCGGTCGCCGAGTAAAAGTTTGAGAAAATTTCGATTCTTAAGTTTTCAATAATGAAGACTGTGCTAAGACCTTCGTTCTTTAAAACTAGCAGCACTAAACGAAGCCATAGAGGCCAGTTCTAGGAAAGTACTATGAGAATGGAAGACATGGTACAAGCTAGAGGGGACAACGCTAGAAAATAATTTAGTTTATTGTTTTCTTATCCAAAATTAAAAAACTATGCAAACACCATGATTACCTTTATTCAATAATTTATAAATTTTATCATTAGTTTGAACCGAATTAAGAAATAAATGTATAGGGAATTAACCAGCCTTTTGCATACAATATAGTATAGAGTGACATCCACAATCTGTATTTCACCACAATATACTCAAAACTTCGACGCACCTATGTTTTTCCTCAAATTATATGTATAAATCAGGTCTCATTTGAAAATCTATATATGTATATATTATAAAACTTTAATAGATTTACGTAAAGGTGTTGGTTATAAAACTTTTATCGACAAATTAATTGAACTTTAATACTTACCAGTCTATTCATCTTACCTGCAAATTCCTTCTCGCCTTGATCCAAGTTTTTTGTCAAAATAAACTCAAGCTTTTCGTTTTTTAGACTTGTTTAATCGTGACTTTTTATGCTTAATTAGATATTTAAATATCTAGTATGAATTTAATGTTTTAAATTATTTCTACTTATCGATTCTTTGGTAAATGACTAACTTTTGTCAATTATTCTTGTTTTTGAACTATACTACTAAATTTAATGTTATATCACCGATATTTATTTTTTTACCAGCTCTTTTTCATTTAGATACTTGCCGATCATTGTACTCGTTTCGAACGAGAACTACTTACTGATCTCGAGTTATATTTGAATGAGTTTATGGCTGTTATGACAATTTTAAATGTTATTTCCGGTCATTTTTAGAGAGCAGTTAGTTACAGTTAGTGTACCATGTTTGGGATTATTTTTCTTTAACACTAACAGAGATTGCCTACTGCCATTACTTTTGTCGTCAAACAATAATCAAATTCAACTGTGTAGAGTTATTGACGTATTTCATTACAGTTCCCATGGAGAATTCATGTCTTAAATAATTCTAATGGCTCTACATTCGAAATTTAGCCTTGGCGTCATGTAATTTCTGCCCCCAATATTGGAATTCTTCAAGTTCTGGTGTCCATCAAGTTTTGGTGTTCTGCGCCACTTCACTCCTTCCTTTAAGTCTTCTGTTCTGGAGGCTCTTCGTGGCAATCTAATCATGTCTCACAATATTTGTTGGTCTAACCATAGATCTTAATTTTTGATTTCCTGTACTTTTTGATATGGTTTGATTTCCTGATGGAGCGGAATTTGAGGGTGAGAGGTAAATATGATTTATTTTCATTCATATTTTAAATTCTGCTTACTATATTTATTTATATCCTACACATGTGAAGCTCTTCACTTCTTCAATATTGTCCTGTAGTCCTATTCGATTCTATTCCTCCTTGTTCTTGTCTAATATTGATTTCGTTTTTTGTGTATGCATATCTAGTCCAAACTATCTTTTTTCATTTGTGAATATATTTCCGCCATTAACCTCGTCCTGCAGAACACGATGTTGTCTGCTACTTAAGCGACAAACTGTACTAAATTGTTTGTTTTGGCTTTTCTAACATTCAGCTGTCTTATGACATTCCAGAGCTAGGTTGAACATCTTGTTTTATCCCCTTGATTATTTGGAAGCTTTCAGCAAACTTATTCTGTATGCAAACTCGTGTTGCAGAGTGCATAGTTTTACTTGTCTAATATAGTTATGTCTGCTACGTATTTCGAGCAGATGTTGGTTTTGTAGAATTTTATATAAGCCACTTATTAAGGACGGGTGTAAAGTTTTTTAAGCAGAGTACAAGAGTTATGCTGCGTTAATTCTCGCCTTTCAGCTTGTACTTTTGTGAAATGATTTCCAATTTCCAAGCGCTAGGATCTCTTCGTTCTATATCTTGATTACCAGTACATACATATGTACTGTTATCCGTTTGCCACCTAATTTAACTATTTTGTTTACATGGGATTAAACCACAATTGATTGTAATTAGAATTACATTTTTAACTAATTAAAATTTGATGTTTCCATTTCCACGATTGTTTACCATCTTGTGATTTGTTAGTTTACTACTTGTTTTGACCACTTTTAAGTATCGTGGGTTTTATCGCTTCATCGTTCACCTTGGTTTCTACACAAACTTGTAAGGGGTTTGTATTTTATCTTACGATCTCTTCGATCGTTACTTTGAAGGTTCAGTTCCATTTTCTGTAATGATCATTTTCGAATTTTCGTTTGTTTTCTGCATATTTTATTCTCCCTCCATCCATGCATTATATGACTCAACAGCCAATTCTAGCCCTGGCCTCCCACAGCAAATCTTTCCATTCGTTACGATCTATAGATTCTCCTTCACGATCGACTGCCATTCTTGAGTCCTCATCCACATAATCCTCCCATCCCTTTTTCGGTCTTCAACTTAGTCTCTTCTGCATTCTTGCATTACACAGTTTTTTTAAGCCTGTTTTCTTCCATCGTAAATACAAGGCCTCTCCTTTGAAGACGCAGTAGGCGGACATACTAAGATAAAGGCGGTTATTTATATATGTATATTATATATTCATTTCATAATTGTATCTGATTCGCCACCTGTTGTTCTCATTTATACGGCCGAGTATTGGTCTTAGTACCTTTTTTCAATGATTATTTTCCTTTCGCTTTGTATTAATCGTGCAATATGATCTGATTTTTTCTTTTAAAACTAGTGGTCAGTAACTGTTTGTTTTTTTGAATTTAGAAGTCCCAAAGCTAAATTTCTAAATTTTCTTTTTTTTACTTTTAATTTACTTTTGGACTTCAATATATCTATATGTTTAAAAAGTAATATTTTCAGCTTCATTTAATGCAAAATTTGTTTTCAGTACTGGATGTACAGCAAATCTGGGGAAATTCGCCGAGACGAATACTGCTTGGACTTCAGTGGTGGGCAGGACGTAATTCTCTATCCGTGCCATGGTAGCAAAGGAAACCAATTCTGGGACTACGACCAAGAACTGAAGCTTCTGCGACACGGCAGTAGCGACAAATGTTTGGCCATAAACGACATTAAAACTAAACTGATTATGGAAAGGTGCAACCCCGACGTTCAACGACAGCAATGGTCATTAGAGAACTATGATAAATCGAAATTGTGATGATTCATTTTGTTTTACGTTATTAAATGATTTGTTGTATTGTTGTCTTATTTTTGCTAAAATTTCCCCGGGATTTTTTGGTTTGGGAACACAGGGTATAAAAAAAGTCATATCTTCACTAATCATGCTGCAAATATCGTTAATGAAATGGTTTGGGGATTTCTGAAATAATTTGCATATTCGTTTTATAAACAAAACATCAAAACATACTATTTTCAAAATTTTAAGTACTTTTTCTGTAACCTATTACGAAAATAAATACTCTCGCAAAAAACATATCTAAAACTTTCATATTCATAAATTTATAACAGTTATTTAAAATTTACAGTATTTTCATAATGGTAGGTCAAGGTATCCTATATAACAGCGAGTAATGACAGGATATAATTGGTATATAAATATTAAGAATTTATAACTGTTCTGTCGGCATTCCACTATAAAGTTATCGTAAGTGATTTTAATGCCTGTCCAAGATACACTATGAAGGAGGACTAAGCTTCGGAATTAGAAATGACGATGACAGCCTTGAATTAGCAACAGCATTAGATATGGCGATTGTTAACACATTATTTCAAAAGAGAGAAACTACTTAACGACATAAAATAGATACAATATTAGTTAAAAACTCGAACATCGAAATAAAAAAGGTTCTGTTGAAAATGGTATATTTAATTAAAATATCCAAATGGATTATGAAGTTCAGAACGAAACTTTTTGGACTAATCAGTTCTGGAGTATTTGCGTAACTGACCGCAAAACCAACAGTGGTTAGGTTTATATTGAAGATAACATACTTAGAAGTATTCAATTATACGGCAAAATTGCCGATGTAATTGGATCACTAACCGGGAACCATATGTCCCTCCTCAAAGTAAAATTTTTACATCCGCACTTTCGAGAGTACGAGAATTACAAAAATCCTACGGTATAAAATTTCCAGTCAGTGTATGTAACTCTGCAAGCACCAAAAACATGATACTAGGAGGAACAAGGTTCCACCATAAAATGACACAAAGAAGCATGGAAATCACCTGACAACGAAACATTCTTCCGATCTCAAGAACGTAAGAAGCTACCTAGTTCCAAACAGATAGATACACAAATACACTTTCTTCTAATCGTTGAGAAAGAGTATAGGAAAAAATGGATAAGGAAATGGAGAGGAGGGGGAAAGTGTGGGGAAATTGTGGACAAAATGTAGAAACACAATAATATTGAGAAGGTAACATAAATATTGGGGAAACCAAACCTGTTAAAAAAAAAACTAATGATTTGATAAGGGGTGCCAAGAAGCAACAGTTAACAAAAATAGAGCATACCCCAAGATAAATGAAGCAGGATGCACAAGAAGAGGGATACCTCACCTAAAAATAGAAGCAATTATTAAACACACAAAAAAAGATGAAATTTGAGCAGTACTATACCAATCAATCCGTAATTTTGGTATTAAAGAAAAACTTGTATGAATAACAATGTCTTCCTTAAATAAAGTGGTAAAATACAGGGAGAGAATTCTAGAACTTTTGACATAAACGATGGACTTGGACAAGGTGCCATGCCTCCTATTTAATATTAACTTGGAAAAGTCTTTCCGGGGCACGCGAATTAGAGACGGTGGTACTATTTATAATTAATCGATACAAATCTTAGAATACGTTGATGACATTAACATAGAGTGGGTAGCAAACGAGATATTGAGCAATATTTCGTATCATTGGAAATGGCGGCGAAGAAGGTCGGTCTAGACATCAACGAAGACAAAACCAAATATATGCTGGTTACAAAGATCCTATAGCAAACAAGGCATGGAAAACAGTCTTTGGAAGTCAAATCTTTGAACGTGTTGACAGCTTCATATACCTTGGCTCGCTTTGTAACTACTACTAACAAAGCAATCGAAGAAATTAAAAGACAAATAAAACTTAAAAACAGGATACTATGTCAATAGGTCGCCACACACGGAACAGAATGGCAACCAGGAGGATTGTCGAGCCAAAGATGATGATGATCAGTAATGAATGCGCAAACATTGTATATAATTGAATATGTTTGACAACTAATATAAAAATGTACTTAAAAAAGTGGTTAGTATAATTTTAGTATTGCTATTTCGTTTATTTCCGATCCAAATAATTGATTTATCCTTCTAATTTCTTCAAAGTTTATGTTTACGATTTTGTAGCATGATTTGGAAGGTAATATGGTGACATTTAAGACAACCTTTATTACTGAATGCATACTGGTCATTGGGTTACATGTACAGAGCATAACAACTTCAGTTACTTAAAAAGCACTTACATAACCTAACTTATCCTAGGTGATCATCTGCACCGACTGCAATGGTACTTCTCTTAATAATATCCAAGTCGAACATATACCTAAAATTCTGCCATACTCAAGTCCATAAAACAATTAAAATCACTTCATAATAACATTTTGTGTAAATAAAGTAGCTCTGTGACAACTATAACTATAATAATAGTATCAAACTCATAATTGAACATTGTGCAGACTTTTAGGTGTAAAGTACAGTAAATTTTTGCTCAGCTCACCACGAGAAGCTCGTTCATATTAAGGGTGAGTAATAAGGTAATAAGGTATGAGTAGTATCTTTTTATACTGAACGTTTTTGGAGATAAGTATTTGAGGTAGGTATTTAAGAGTAGAAATAAATACATATGGTTAAATATTACAACCGTATAATACTCTATAAGATTGGTTTAAGTTATGGATGAGTTGAGCAAACATTAGTAATAATTACAATAATAGTGCAGATTTTTTTCTATTTTTACGATATATACTTTACTTGTATTTCTTTCTATATAATATATATATATCAATTAAGTCTTAATAGGTAAATATTTGTGAAATGTTTCTTTACACAATATTTGAAAGATGTCGAAGATTTGATTTACAGAATTTTGAAATGTTTGATATTACCGTGATATAGCGGCCTGGTCCCTAAGTTTACCCTCCCAAAATCTTTTAAATATTTAAGAGATTCACATTTTATTACAATTGGATAAGACCTAGCTCATTTCGTTTTTTGCATTTATCAGGAACCAAAATATATATATAAACTTTAAGAGGTAGCCTTACTACGTTATTGAACATTATAGAAATCGACAAATGATATTTCTCTATAAAATATTATATTAATTGACTACAAAGTAACGAAAATTAGTCAACATGTATTACAACTTTGCCCTTGGATGGTGGAGTTGTATCATGTCTTCAACCTTATTATGAAACTTTTTCTGTGATTAAAGCTATATCTAAAATGCAATGTATGAACAAAAAGTTTATTGATCTAAATTATCCTACAGTGAATGAATAAATCTGATCAACTGACATTTAAACCCCAGAAAATGCTTCATTTATTAAGTAAGCAACTAGTTATTGGTACAAATAACATTTAAATAAAAAATGGGAACACGCAATATTTCGTTACTCTTTTCTTAATACTACAAATTTTATGTGAAGAGGATCTTTTATAAAAATTGTCAATTTATCACATCTGAATCTGTTAACAAAACTAAAACTCACTAATGGCCATTTTCCTAACAAAACATTTGTTATCGCATGTCATATTGATAACATTGCATCACATATTTTGTAAAACGTCGTTTAACAGAAAAACCTCATGTTTGATTATAAAAATGGCTGAAAATTTAATGGTGGTCTGGTACTTTCAATGGGTACAAAAGCAGGTATTATATGTATTCGTTTAAGCCAATTGCTTTATGAAAATTACTACCTAATCGACCAAAGCACACCAGACCAACTCAAAGAGCAAATAAACTTTTACAGTGTAATCAAGTACAAAAGTTGTTTCTAGGATACTTTTACTTTAAAAAGCCGTCCTCTCTTTTGTCTGAACCTTTTTAAAACTGAGATCAAATCACTTTATTCTTTACTACATTTACGGAAATACAATAAAAATGCTATACACGTTGTTACAACTTGAGTTTGACGGATTTTACAATTTACATGATAAAAATTTATTATGCCCTTCTTTCAGTATGTTTATTAAAACTTCATCAAGGTAAAGTGATACGAAAATCCTGACTAAAACTATATACAGGTTTTCTGCAGCCCAATTGATACGGGCAAAGTTGAAAAACTTCCAACTTTATTTGGTTGACGCAAAAATTATTTTCTAATAAATTCAGTTATTGCAAATATTAACAATAAATAAACTTTTATACCTGAATATCAAATTCTATTTTAAAGGCATATGGATGGCACGTAATGTATTGTATTCAGGATGTATTTATACCTTGAAACACTTCAAAATTTAAGAGTTTTAACTTAGACATACATATGTGTAACAGTCTTTAGATTTACTACTAAATTTAAAATATCAGGTCATCGCATTCCGTTTTATAAAAAATAACACGTAGTTACTTTATCACTATAATCCACACATATCACATATAAGAAACATAAATTTAGACTCGAATTTAGAGAAACTAGAGAAAAATCCTTGATCCTATCAACACCAATTTTCGTAAAAAAAAACAAGAAGGAACGCCTAAAAAGATCAGATCAAATCTAATCCATCTAGTTTTACAAGAACAAGAGGAAATTCCAAATTTAAATACGACAAAAAAAAGAACTGTTAAGGGTTTTGGTTAAAGGAGGTAGAAGAAAATCGAGGAGAAAATGCTGTGTGGCAGAGGACTTCAGAGAGAAAGGTTTACATGAAAAAGTCATAATTAATAGAAATATATATATATATATATATATATATATATATATATATATATAATGTGAAATTATATCCACAGTGTAGCAGCGCAAGAAAATCTTGGACATATAATGCGAAACGATCATAGATATAACCTGCTGAAACTTATATTACAGGGAAAGCTCTACGGAAAGAGAGGATCAGGAAGAAGACTATCTTGGCTCCAGAACGAAAATGGTTTTCCTTGAGCGCTTCAGGAGTATTTCGAGCTGCAGTCAATAAAGTTAGAATTGCCATGCTAGTAGCCAAC